GTCCGGTTAGCCCTGCCAACCATGACCTCGCATTGTCGGCCCATGTTCATCTTGGAGTCAATAATGACTCCAAGATCCCTTTCTGCCTCCGTGCTCTCGAGTAAGGAGTTCCCCATTGTATAAGTGTGCTGCTGGTTCCTACTGCCCAAGTGCAGCACCCTGCACTTGTCCGTGTTAAAACGCATCCTGTTCCTGTTAGCCCACCCCTGTAACCTATCCAGATCCCTCTGCAATCTCTCACTCCCTGCTAGCGTGCTCACCTCCCCCCAGATTTTGGTGTCATCAGCGAATTTAAACAGGTTACTTTCCACCCCATCATCCAGATCGCTGATGAAGAAATTGAACAGCGCAGGCCCCAGGACCGAGCCCTGGGGGACTCCGCTACCCACCTCCCCCCAGGTCGAATATGACCCATCCACCACCACCCTCTGAGTGCGACCCCTCAGCCAATCTGCAATCCATGGGTATGATTGGGAACTGCTATCTCCAGAGAGAAAGGCAAAAGACCGTCTCTTTTGCCCCTTTCAAAGGGTGATTTGATCCATTTCCTGCTGTTCTGTCTGGTTTTAAAGTCCCGTGCAACGTAACCAGACTTTATTCATTTTCATAACAGTGAAAAAGCAACAGTAAAAACAAAGTTCCTCTTCAAGCACCTGTACTTAGAAAAGGACAAATGAGTGTACATTGCTTGTCTAATCTGAGAAAGGAAAGGCCCATGTTTTCTGACACCTTAAAAAAAACCCAACCAAACCGAACCCCCACCATCCCAGGAATCAATATATTTTAGGATATGTCCTGGGAGTGGGCAGGGAAATCTTGTCAGAACAGTGTTATAACTCCCATACTGCAGTAACATTTGCACTGCTACCCTGCTTTGACAAGACACTGAAGTAGCTGGCTCAAACCAAGTGTTGGGCTGTGAAAATTTAGGCACTTTTCTGGGCAGGAGGGAGTTGGAAACTTTGCTGCTCCAGGGACAGCAAAGAGGGAGCACAGACCTGATGTGCACGGGGCAGTGCTTACGTCCCTGTTCTTCCATTAGTGGGCCCACCAGAACTGGCCTGTGTGTCAGTGCAGAAGAAAGGACAGAGTCCTGCATGTCAGTGCAGAAGAAAGAACAGAGTCCTCTCCATACCATACACCTCTATTCCTCTTACCTTCGAGGATGTGCAATCTATTTAAGTGCATGAATGGAGCTGTACTCATAGGCAGGGGAGCATAAGGACACTGGCCCACACAGGAACTCAAAGCTCCTCCTACTACGGCATCCTCACACCTTCAACTCTCTGCACCTGCATGTGAGCCAAATACAGACTGACCCTAAATATGGGCTATGTTTTCAAACAACCTGAAAGCTGGTCTTTCTGGAGAAGCTCACATGAAAATATAAGCCATCAAGGCTGGCAGTACTTTCCTGTAGAAACCAGGAATGCGCTGTTCCAAGCTTCTGCCAGCAAGGTGATCAAAATATTAGCATTAATGTTATAAAGGAAGTACAGTGGAAGATCTGACAAGGAGAACAATGTGATCCTTGACGAAGTGAGAGGCACATGATGCTGTGCTGTAAAGGCAGTCTTGGGATTTCAGGTTAGAAAGGAGGGCTGTGAAGACAGTGCAGTTTATTTAAGTGGTTACTTATGTACAACCAATGTTTTTTTAAGTATCTAGCAGCTGTCCTAGGGATAGGGCAAGTTTCTGTATTTCTGCACTGTATTTTTTCATACTGAATTTCAGCCTAAGGCTTTCAGTGGGAAAAAAACCCCCATGTTACCAGAAACAAAATTGCTATAATTTGATCTTGGAAGGTTCAGCAACGAAAGAAAGAGTAGGAAAAAAAATACCAAGAGTACAAATACTGATCAGACTACAGCAGATGTTGTCCCTTGAGAAAAGTGGTTACAAATACAAATGCCACCTAAATAAATAAGTTTCATTTTAGTAGGACTGTAAAGACAACAAGCATTTAGGTAACGAAAACACTGCCACAGCAGAACAAAACCAGTATCTTTGCACAAATTCAAATCCTATAATTTAAAACATCACAAAAAATATCCTAACGTGATTGCTTTATGTCTACTTTCAAACAGTGCGGTTTGGAGTACTGCAACCGCTAAGATTAATTCAGATGTTCAAACATAACATGGAAAAACAATGACAGCTCTTAAAAACTACTTAGACAGGATTTGTAATTGCAAGAAACCAACTCCAAAACCAACCCACCACAGTGGAGAAAAGAATACATATTAAAGGAAAACTTTCCCAGATGCTTTCTTATTTATATTTGCTTGTGTGAGAGTAATATTTTCAGCTAGATCTAATTTTAAGTTGCCTTTGTGGCTTCAAGCAAAATGTGGGAGATAGTTATACAGGACCAGGAGGGTCTCTTCTCAAGGGAAAGATATGGCAGCTCTTACAGTAGTTAACAAAGCCTGTTTGTTTTCAAGTACCAGCTAGGAGAATTTCTTTACATTGGCAGGGGGTCGGACTCGATGATCTGTCTAGGTCCCTTCCAACTCATTGATACTGTGATTCTATGATTCGTCCTCCTTTTTTTTCCCTCCCAGTACAAATATGCTTGGTTTATTTCACAAAGGGCCCAAAACAACACCCATGGAAGTCACCAGCAGTCTTTCCAATGACTTCAATGGAAATTGGATCAATGCTTAAATTTTGGTCTCACATTAGTATGGATTGGAGTAATACCACAGTTTGAACTTGACCCTGTACAGTTTGTGGATAATAGTATTTTTTTCGTTTTTACCGCACCACGCAAAAGTAAACTTGTATTGTTACTTTTAAATACAATGCAAAAGTTGTATGGTTACTTTTAAATGCAAAATGTTGATGGCGGTGATGAGCCACACCCAAGAGTTTTATGGTTAACAGAGCGACCCAGGACAAAAAAGAAAAGGGGGAGTCATCATCCTGTGAGAGGTGTTATTAGCTGGGTCCCTTTAGAAATATCTGTTTTTGGGACAATGACATTCAACACCTTCAATAATCATCTGGAGAAAAACATAACATGACTGCTGGAGTAGGACAGTTTGGCTACATGGACTGATCTGGATAGTTTGGCAAGAAGAACTCAGGTGAACCACACTCATTTTAATACAGCCAAAGGTAAAGTCATGCATAGAGGAACAGAGAATGTGGGTCACACTTTGAACTTGGAAGATCATACCCCAAAAATTATTAACACTGAAAAGGACATGAAGATAATAGTGAATAACCAACTGAATGCAAGCCCCCAGTGCAATGCTTTAGTTAAACAGAAAACACACTGCTTGGGTGCATAAGCTGTGAAATATCTAAGTAGGCACATGGGATACTCCTGTAGATATCTTTCATGAGACCACTGTTAGAAGACTGTGGGCTTGTCTAGGCTAAAAGCATATCTCTGTAAAGCAGAGCTAGTGTAGTTGCAGCATATGCTGAGAGAAGTTTTTATGCTGTTATAGTTACCCCAACACCGCAAATGATGCAATTCATGCCCACAAAAGCACTCTTGTGTTGGCATATCTGTGTCTACCCCAGGGGTTTTGCTGGCTTAGCTAAGTCAGCTGGGGGTACAATTTATAGGTATACCAACAAAACTGTGTAGTGCAGACTCCTAGTCCTGGTCTGCTGTTCTCTTGTGAGTGATGCGATTTTGACCAGAACTGGAGCCTGTCTCCTGAAATGGGAAGCTCCAAGTCTCTAGCAAATTTCAGGCAAACCTGGTAGGAGGATACCTCTTTGGGTGCCTGCCCCACTAGCCCACGTCCAGTGGTACAACAGCCAATTAGAGTTCAGGGGGCGGAGCTTTCTTCCTCCACATCCCTTAAGCCAGGGAGTGTCAACCAGGGGTATGCAGGAAGGCCCTACGGGGTACACTGCAGTGGCACAGAGGAGCGGGGGCAGGGCCGCCAGCACTTTGCACCACTAAACTTCCAGTTGCGCCACTGCACACCACCAGCACTTCTGGTTTTGCTGTTGCATGCTGTGCGGGGGACCCCTGCCAACCCCCATTGTAGATCGGCCACCAGGGGATCCCCCCATGTTCAATCAGCTGCTGGGGGACCCCCCGCTTGTTGACTGGGTGCTGGGGGTACAAAAAAGGTTGAAAACCCCTGCCTTAAGCCAACCCAGGACAGTTCCCAGAGAAGGTGAGTGGGAACAGCAAATATCCAGCCCCCAAAAACACCTCCATTTTCTTGCCTTCCCTCTCTTCACTTCTACCTGCAACACTGCTCAAGAACAAGTCGAAGAATTTCATGGAACTGTGGCAAGGCAGAATTGACAAGGAGGCTGATGAGGGCAGAACTGCTGTGGGGTAATAGGATGGATCTGGAGGTTGGGAGGGCAGAACAGCTAGGTAAGGAACCAACAACATGAGAGAGCTCTTGGAGCAGGATGAGTTTTGGAAAATAGGCAATACTAACAGCGTCTCTCCCATACTGGGGATGGGGCAGGGAGACATTTAAAATAAATCAAAAAATAGTCAAAAAATAACCCTTTTAATTATTTTTAATCAGTATTTTTGAGGCTTGAACTCAGGAGTTTTGAACTTCTAGGGTTGCGAAGACTGAGTCACAGTTTTTCCAAGAGAAGGCTGAAAGTTTCCTTAGTCATAGTCTACCAGTACATACATGAAAAAGGGGTTTTGTATAGTAGCCAGCTCTTAACTAATAAAAGAAGTGGGCAGTATAACGAGATCCAACAGCAGAGAGCTAAAACTAGCTCTTTAGTCTAGAAATAAGACGAACTTTTAAAAGCAAAGTTAGCACTACTTACATGGAGACATGGTGAATTCTCTACGACTTGCTGTTCTGATTTAAAGAATAGGTAGATTTCTAAAAAATATGGAATTTACTGGACGAGGTTTGTTCTATGCATGAGGTTAGAGATGAGATGATCATAATGGTACTTTGTGGCCTTAAGACACTATGAGTTGCAATTTAATTTGTGCTACTGTAACAAAAAAAAAAAAAAAAAATCAATGAAGAAATTTTTTTTTTCAGGCTGTATCTATAATAGTGGCCGCAACACTGACCTTCGAGACAATCTACACCTCAAATTAAGGGTCAAGGTTGATGCCTGCTCTGAAGGGGAAGGCTGATGCTGCTTTCAGAACTGCCATCCTTTGAGGAAAGTCTGTATAATGGAAAGGAGATCAAACAGGTTCTACTGTTTACAGCAGTATATGAACTGTTGCTCAAAGTTTAATGGCAATGCTATTTGCATAATCAAGGCCAACAGAAGTGCAGAGTGATGGTTAATATCAGTCCCTGAGCCTTGTTCAGTGGCTGAAGACATCCCTTTTTTCTGGAACTGGAGGAATGAAACCCTAATCTACTAACCATTTAATTGCTGGTTGATTCAAACAGTAAGTCATTCTCATTACTTACCAGTGTATAAGCATGATTCGATTGTGGTTATATTTATCTGCTTTTGTTTCAAAGCACCTATATACAAATTTTAAAGAGAACATCCCAGTTCAGTCTTTTAATGAGGTTACAAACGAGTAAGCCTAGTATACCACAAAGCCTAATATACTCTTTTTTTCCCTACTCTCATGACCAGGATGTGTAAAATGATGTTTCCTAAAAATTCTTTAGTTTATAATGTGAAATCATGCATCTAGTGCACACAAAAGAGCAACAGAAGGTGCCTGTGCTAAGCTTCGGCACGCAGCAATTAAATCAAAACTTGCTGGAAGAAGTTTATGCACCTATACAATAACAGTGCAACAGCAAATTGCTCAGGAGACATGAAATGGCTATACAAAATCAGTGAAGAATTGTGGCGGTAATGGGTTTTTTTTGCTAATATAGGGGAAAAAATGACTTTTCCCCCCTTTTACTTAAGTCTCAGAAAAAAATTAATTTGCACAGTTAGTCTCTGCTATGATCCTGCTCCAACTGTAGCTATTTATTGTATGCCACTAAACCAGACAACACTGGGGACAGGGGGAAAAGAAGAGAGAGAGAACAAGAGATTGATTGATTCCTGAAGTCAAGTACTTTTGTGCAAGTGTGTATTGAGGTCTGTTTCTAATAGACCTTCAAGTGGTTGATACTGCAACTTTATGCATCTCAGCTGGTCTGTAATGACAGGAGAGGGGTGTGGTGTTTTACAATCTACTTGCTAGCATATGGGAAAATAACCGTATGATAACAGACGCAAGCTCATGCCTTGATTGAAGAAAATGCATCCCTTATTTAATTTGTTCTGGCACCTCCAGTACTAGTGATATTTTACAATAAAATGAAAGAAACTAAAAATATCTAAAAAAATATGGGACTGGTTTCCAGTAATGTCAGCTGCTGATTGTTCAAAGCCGATTCAAAATGCTTCAGAATTTGAGAAATGAGATTTTGGAATAAATCAAACTATCAAAATACTTTAACCTATGGGACTTTGTTAATTGTACAGTTTGCTTTTTACCATTAAGAGATGTTACATGCTTTTCTGAACACTTTTAGATTGCTCTTTCTGATGAACAGATCTTTTAAGTACTGTACCACAAGCTACTGTATTCACACATGCTTTTCTAAAAGTTTTTACTAATCTCTCCAAGTGTAAATTCTACTAAGACTCGTATGGAGACCCAGAAAGGATGACAACATTTATATATCTGCATAAATGCAGTTGTACCTCCTTTTTGATTGAAAAAGAATTTATTTTCATTGTTCAGAGTTACCTGATTGACAATCCTGGAGACAGATGACATTTGCCATATAAATGGTAAATCAGTGTAAAAGCACCACAGCAGCACTGAAACTACTGATACTACCCTGAACTAGGTATAGGGATATTTTAGTGTTATCTTCATGCAGGACCCAACACCGTACTCACATAAGTCAACGTACATATCACTTTGATTTCAAAAGGTGGATCAAACCTTTAAGTCTCTCATTTCTCTACAGAGACAGCCAGGACAGGTTTCAACACAACTGGCTCATTTTAGGAAGTTCTCCAGTCATCATAATTTAACCACTAACTTAGTACATCTCAGAGATGAGAAGATCCATTTCCCATTAGAGTTCCCTAGAGGCATCCTGTCTGTCAGGAATGTATTAAGACTTCCTGACCTAGGTTTCAATGAGCCCTATAACAAAAATGCATGCCAAACTCAGTTAAGCAGTGCTTGGTGCTTTACACATGGGATTTCAATGTAGTAGGACTTTTAAACCAAGCAAACAGAACAAATCATTGTATTATATTGTATCTGGCAAATGCAAAATAAAGGGAACAAACGTGGCAACTGACAGGACACATGTACTAGTCCTTCTGACAGAAATTTGGATAGGTGCAGATGTTGACAACGGACAAGTTAACTACGTGCTTGACTGAGTTTGACAAGCTAGTGAGAGGTTTCTCAAACCACCAATAGGGTTTGGCTTGAAAAGAAATGTCTGAAAAACATCTTAAAATGTAAGCAAGCTCTGCGTCATTTACGATTTATTTCCGGCCTGACTGAAAGTCCATTGAAGTCAGTGGAAAGACTCCCATTCACTTCAATGGGATTTGATCACACTTTTTATTTGGCTTAAATTAACCGTGTTAAATTCAGTAAATCAGGCAAACTGACTGAAAATCCCTTTTTTCCTTCAGTGGGGTGAACTATGATTAGTTTATGGTAGCACAGCTATAAAGCCACTGGGTGGTTTAGCAGCATCTGGATAACTTTCAAACTTGGCAACGCAATTTAACTTTGAAAGTCTTGGCGGAAACACATCAGCTTTGACACTTGGTGCTGTGCACTTGCTGTAACAAGCAAAATTTACTGCTTGTGCAGTTATCCCTGTTCAGCAATATGGAATCTCAAAGCATTTTGCACCAGATGTCAGTTCTGTAGAGAAGCAAGAGAACAAGTCTGAACCCATTCTATAATTTACTGAAATTTGCAAGTTATAAAATATTCTAGCTTTGGAGAAAATTCTTTATTCTAGTCCAAACCATAGATCTCTGATTTGCAATATGCATTTTGCCCTTGAAGAATTAAACTTCAAAAGACTCTCTACTCAGCAAAATATCCAATTAAAATGAATACCTTATTACCAAGCAATTTGCAAATCTGAACTTGTGAAATAAATTGGTGCATCAGGTACTGGGTAAAATTCACTAAGACATTCTTTTCAACTTCTGTTTCTGTTCTGGACTTAACAAAATGATTATATTTAAATTATGAAATTGTTTTAAAAATAGGCTCACTTTTTTTTCTTTTTTTAAAAAAAGGACATGCATCAAAAGCAAAGAGTCTCATACCATGGTATGCATAGCTGCATACAAATTCATATTTACTCAAAATGTATGACTGTTTGGATCTGGTGTGTTCGTTTAAAACCACAGTGCACACAGACCCAAACTCTTAAGTATGGAACTGAAACTCCCTTTGGTTTGGAGAGTCTATGGTTTCGTGTTCCAGATTGAACTAACTCTAACCAAAAACTGGGGGTCCAAATAGAACATGGAAGCCACAGACAGTCTATTTCCTGGAGAGAAAGTTATCAGAAAAAAAACCTGCTTCACATCAGTTCGATACATAGTAAATAAAGGCCTCATTTTTAAACAAAACATGAAATTAGCTGGAATGTAAGTTACAGTATAGAATGGAAAAGTGTTACCTGTAATATACTGGTCTTTGCCAAAGATGTCTCCAGGAAAAATACAAACCAGGGACTTTTTGCTTGTACAGTAAAGTTCATGTAGAGACATGAAAGCTTTATTGCAAAACTGATGTAATTCACTTTTGTTCCCAGCTTCTGTTCCATTCTCATAATATTTGCTCAACAAAGTTTGTTTTAAAAGTATTTGTGCAGTTAGTTTTGTGGAATCTATTGGTTCACTCTCCCCATCCCACTCCCCAATTGTAACAAAACAGCTACATACAAAAGTAAATTGCAGCAGTGGAAAGAGCTCTACATACTCATTACAGTGCAAATGCCTCTCCTGAGTCCATACAGGAACATCACATTCTACAGCCTGAAGTGCCTGCTCTGGGCCACAGCACAAAAGCGGTGAAAAAATGTACGTTAACCAAAGGATAATCCTATCTTGTGTGGGCAGCAAAATAGGAAGGTTTACAATATGCCTATGAATATTTTTAAAGGCTGCAAATTTAAACTAGTAACCACTGAAGTGCCATTCTAAAGTTATGGTCTGGTGACTACTGACAGTCCCCAGAGAATCTGTCACATCTGCAAAACACCTGCCCTTCTTCAAACATGGATCAGACTAGTCAAGAATTCTGTGCCTGATGATTTATACTGTTGCAAGACTGGTATCAGACCCTTTGGCTAAGTACAGACAGTCAAAAAGTTGGAGGCTGAGTCAGTTCAGTCTTTGCAGGTTAGTATAAGCTGCAATGATTGAACCAATAAGCAAATGAACAGACATTCACTTGTGATTCAGGGAATGCAGCCATATGTCTGCAGTGGCTCAAGCCAGAAGGTGCTACAGCATGGCTCTCTGACACACAGACAGCATGGGCTGTGTGTTCGCTTCCTCTTCCTGCTGCCCCCGAGGTCTCTGGGATTTGCTGTCAACAATCACAGCAGCAGGACTCTGAAGGGTTGCTCATCACTTCCTCTTCCTGCTTCCAAGTGCCTCTGGGATTTGTATTCCACAGTGACAGCCAGCAGTAAGTTTAACAGGGCAGGGCAGCTCTGTACTCAGGGGAAGGGAAATTTAATGCCCCACTCCCTGGCCCCAGACCCAAGCCGATGTTTGCCAGGAGGGGGGCAGTGAGCCAGGCAGAGAGACCAAGCCAGCCCTCACTGCTTCAGCTAAGGGAGCAGAGAGGTGAGGTCAGCCCTGCTCTGGGGGGCAGACAGCCCAGCCCAGCTCAGCACTGCAAAATGCTGGGATGCTAGGGAACTGATTGAACTTAAACCAGGAAGGGGTCTGGGACAGCGGTTTCATAAACTGGTTTGACCTAAATCAGTTAGTCTGATACTCCATTCACCCAGGTTTATCTTAATCCAGTTTCAGCCATTTTGAAACTGGTTTATGTGCACTGAGCTCCTGTTCTGTTACAGGTTTAAACCAGTTTCTGATCACTTAAACTGGTTTATATGTAATTTCTGTCCCTAGCCTTTGTGTTTTGAGAGTTTCATCAGCTAAAACATACAAACATCTTTCCTGCTTTATTTCTTTCTTTTGCACATTTCATTGGCATACATTTAGACCCACATCAGATGTGTATGACACCCAAGCTGATAAACTAGCAAACTGCAAAGTGACCTCTGACTATTCACAAATGTCTGAGTACTAAAGACCTTCTAGCACCCCTTCAAAAACACCAGAGGAAAAAGATGGAAGATGTAATAATGATTTACAATTTACAAACTATACATATTCCTTCACAATGTAACATTAGGAAACTATTTGCTTTGGCCTTTGAGTTTTGAGGAAGTTTCCAAAATTACAAAACTATCACTCCCTAACTGGATATACACAAGCTAGTTACTATTTGATCCTTCCATTCCATTGCAAAACAGCTTAGCACACTGCAACCCCAGAAATAAGAGCTACCTTATCTTGCAAAAGTGACATCTACCTAGTTTTTAAAGATATAGTTCTGTTCGGCTGCCTTTGATGCCTCTGCCAGTCTTCCATCAAGGGCTTGGAAGGATTGTAGCTCCTATTGTAACTGCCAGCAGAGTCAAATTACTGAGCTGAAATTGATGAAATATATAGTCCCTAATGAACAAACAACTGCTTTGTTTTTTACAAAAATGCTAACAGTGTTCCCAGTATATTATGTGAATTAAACCAAAAGTTGTTCTACAGTAAATTAGCTGATTTCAAAGAGAAAAGTTGAATACTGAGTCCTATTTCTAACCCTTCATTCTCTACTGCATACAGACCACACTCATTTCACTTGCAGAACTTCTATTATGAAACAAACGCAATGAGCAACAATGATCCCTTTGCCCGGGGGAGCAAAGGGAAGAATTTTGCCCCAGCCCTCAACTCTTCTCTGGCATCATCTGTGTTACCATATTTACTGGAATCCAAGATGAGGTTTTCTTCCCATATTCAACATGGGGGAAAAGAAACCTTGTCTTGGATTCAAGTATGACCCGGGGAAGGCAGCTGCAGCAGCTTTGGCTCCAGTGGAGACTGCACGGTGCAGGGGAAGAGATCACATGGTGGGGAGACTGGGGGTGGAGCTGCTGCCACCACTGCTGCCTTCCAAGGGCGAAAGCTACTGTATGCTCTGTGCCCCAGGCCAGAGCTGCCACATAGGGTAAGCAACATAGGAGATGGCAGGCAAGGGGAAGGCAGGCACTGGGGTGGGTAGGTGGGGAGTAAATGTTGGGGAGCAGTCACTGGGGAGGACAAGCAACATGGGGACAGGCTGGGGGAAGGGGTGACAAAGCTGGCTACCTGTCCCCTCCATCACTGCTTTCTGCACTACTTGCTGCCCTGCTGTTGGTTGCCCCACAGCAGTGGTACAGGGGGCTGAATTTAAGACAACTCCCCAGTAATTAGAGTCTATGCATGGAAAACCATAACAAATGTATAATTTTCCATAGAAAGACTCTAATAGGGGGGATGCCCTAAATACAGTAATTACTGCCTTCCATGGGTTTATTACTGATTTATATTGGTTCAAAAAAGAGAGGAAGGAATCCAGGCCTCTTCATTTGCTAGCCAAAACATTAGGTTCTCCTGGGATGGCAGCTGA